TTGATAATCGAGAATGAATTATTTCGAAGATTCGAAACAATTAGATCTTAATATGATATCGTCTTGGATCCTAAGAATAAGAGTTATAAATTCGAATTCAACTGAAAAATTACTAATTATTCATTTCTATAGAAGAAATGGTAGATGTGACGAACAACATATTCGTATGTAATTTTACTCAATACTTAATAAAGTATTGTAATTGGTAAGCATGGTCTTTGATAAATATCATGCAATATTCTATTTCATTAGTTGGAAAACTTCATGATCGTCATTATCATGTACATGAAGTTTATCATAGATCATATTGATGATAGTCATTTGTCAACACGCCTATTAGTAAGCGTTTGAGTAGAATGTAAATTATGAATCATAAAAAGTCATTAAAAATAAAAATACAAGTTTCAATAAAAATCGAGATATCATCTCATAATTAATCGAATCACCACAAGCATATCGATTAGCACATTCAATTCTATTGAAGATATTTAATAAAAATGCTTGCTTTTTTTTTAAAGATTCATGTCATCAAACATGAGTCATACATTCTATCTGACGAGAGAACGTCACTAACTGATACCTTCCATTTGAACTCAAAAGTTGACTCATAGAATAGAGAAAAAACCCATTCTATTGAGAAACATTTTCACGAGCTGATTTTTTTTTACCTTAAAACTCAAAATTTTAAACAAGATGTGTCTCGTCGAGAAGAAATGTTTATTTTCGTCACATCCACTTGTATTATTTCCCATATCTATTACACCCAACAAACATACGGATAAAAAAAATCCCTGAATAAGCTGCTGCTTTCGACCAGAAATGACTAAAAATAATAGAAGAGTTTTAATTTTATTCTTTGAATCGAAAATAATTGTAAAAAGAAAAATAAGCGCGTTTGATTGATAATATTATTGTCTTTTTTTTTTGTTTTTTTTTTTTAAAGTAGCCTACAAAATAATGAATTCATATATATATATTTTATTTCATATAATTGATAAACTATGACAAAGTGGGAACATACAATACGACAATATGAAGGTCAAGATTTTGAATCAATTCGTTTACAATGTCGTCGTGAACGAAAACTTTTTGAAGATCCAATTTTTCCAGCACAATTAGAATCTTTATCAAATAATTATCAAAAATTAATTCCTAATTGGCGTGAAATTATTTGGAAACGTCCATATGAAATTGTCGATAATCCACAATTAATTGTTAATGGAATAAAACGTACAGATCCAAATCAAGGTGATTTAGGTAAATTTTATCAAAGCGAGAGAGAGAGATAGAGAATTTTTTAATCATAATCTTATTTCTATAGGTAATTGTTGGTTTATAGCAGCTATGAGTGCTTTAACACAAAATAGTACTGTACTTAAACGAGTTATTCCACCTGATCAATCATTTAATAAAGATTGGTATGGTGAGTGAATGAAAAATTTTAGATATATATATATATATTTTTTTAGCTGGTATATTTCATTTTCGTTTTTGGCGTTATCAACAATGGTATGATATTGTTATTGATGATCGTTTACCATATTTAATAAAACAAAAACGTTTATGGGGTGCAAGAAATTTATTTGAAATAAATGAATTTTGGGTTTCATTACTTGAAAAAGCATATGCAAAATTAAATGGAAATTATACAAATTTAGGTGGTGGTTTACCAGTTAATGCTTTAACAGATTTTACTGGTGGTATTGAACAACGTTTTGAATTAAAATCAAATTTATCTTTAACACATTTACATTCAGATGATTTATTTGATTTTATTAAATCATGTATTGATTATGGTTCACTTATAGCTTGTTCAATAAATCCTAATAAACAAAAATTAGAAACTATTTTATCAAATGGTCTTGTTATTGGTCATACATATTCAATAACAAATTATTATATATTACCATTAACATATGATAATCATTTAAGAAAATTAAGTGAACGTGGTTTAATTCGTTTTCGAAATCCATGGGGAAATGATATTGAATGGAATGGAAAATGGTCTGATAGTGATCCTATTTGGAATTTACTTGATGAAAAAACACGAAAAAGATTAAGTATACAAAGAAAACATGATGGAGAATTTTGGATGTCATTTAATGATTTTTATAAAGAATTTGATGTTATGGAAGTTTGTCATATTAGTCCAGATACATATGATGGTAAAAAATTGACTAAATATTGAATGATATAATGATAAAATAATAGAACTGAACATGCATGGAATCTCAAAAGATATGATCATTTCATAATACAAAAGATAGCTTCACTAGTATTTAAATTGAATCAAAAAAATTTTGTTTCTATTTGAAATAGGAAACTACTAATAAGGCATAATTCCTGTGGAATTAAAATGTGAAGCATTCACTAAGATTTCCAAGGAAGTAGTTCATATACTATAATGAGATACAGTCTGTGACGCTGAGAACGAGTAATGTTGCTAAGGCACCTATCACGGCCTGTAACGAAGGAGAGATGTTAAGATTCTGAAGAATGGTAGGATAATAGAAGCAAAGGTATGATGTCCGGATCCAGTGTCCGAGTTTTTCAGCTTTCATCAGGAAACGATCATAACAGAATAGAGTCGACCGTTGGATATGATCATCATTATACGGCTTCCAAGCTCATATCATTTTCCGGAGTCTTACGACCGGAAAAAAAATCTTTGCTATGAATTCCAGCAGAAAAATCAAAGAGTCGGACGTTGGAATCATTGACTAGGGAACGAGTCAATCATTTTAAAATTGATCAAACAAATGATTAAAAAACAATAATCAAATACTCAACTTTAGCCGACAGTAAAAATGTTTAAAAAAAAGTAAAATTCTGAAAGAAAGATTGTTTTGAAAGATGTTATTATTACACGATTAATATTGGCTTATAGGGTGTGAATGTGTAGCTGAAGAGAAGACACATCTATACCTAATCGCAAGTTATCATAATAGAATAAATTCTCGTATTTATATCAAAATTATCCAAATATATGAGATTTGACGAAAGCAAAACAACAAATGAGTGGCAGCATTACAAACTCGAATAAATATGTTGTATAATCTCAGTAATAATAATTATCTCATTACAGCATTTGATCTACTCAACGGCTTGTCTTTTATTGTAGCAAAAGAAAAAAGTTATGATTGTATAATAAGAACATTATTTAAGATCGATAAACTTAATATTTCAAAGCATTTTTGTTCATCTTTCATTCTTTCTTTTTCAATAACAAACATTCGATTCGAAATTAACTATTTGGGTTTTTAATTTTCTGAATGAGAAACTATGCAAAAGTCTCCATCGCAGTTTTCGACATAAGGATCAATGGTCATCGGTGGCTTACATGCTCCGAACCTCAACACTCTGTCTCCGATATGAATATAGCAGGCCTCGAAATTGAGCCACTTTTCTATGGCCCGAACATTGTTTAGACCCGCTTGATCCCGTTCAACTTTTGTTCAGCCCGACCCACTCCGACAAAATATTCTGTTGGGCCGAGCGGTCCGTTTCGAGGTCTGGCACATAGGTACTGAAGACAAGCAGACGTCAAGGATATCAGCTTTACAATTCTCATAGGACCTTGCTAGTAAATTTTCATGTTATCAGATACATCATAAGTATATTCGTCATTATCAGAAACTTGTAGAAAAGTTTCAAACATGCGAATAACTGATATATTCAAACAATAGTTTTTGTTTTACATCTATAGTTTCAATAAAATCATCATACACTCTATAAATAAGAGTGTGTTTTTCAATGTGCATAGAACGGACTATTCAAATATGTAAAAATCTTGATATCAAATTTTTCGATTTTAGAATTTGGATTAACTATTCAAGATTCCAAACATCATTGGCGTATGTGGTATGTACTTGGATCATGGCGTGCTGGTGAAAATAGTGGCGGTTCATGTGCAAATTCTGGTTGTCGTCATGGTTGTTATTATTGGCGTAATCCACAATTTGTTATTGAATTAACATTAAATCGTTCATTTAATTCCAATAGATTATGTATGATGATAATTGCATTAATGCAAAAACCAATCATAAATAATTCAAATGAACAATATATACAAATTCGTCTTTTTAAAATAAAATCAAATGTTAAAATATGTGAGAAAAAAATATATAAACCCGATGAAGTTGAACGAATTGGTAGATAAAATAAATTTTTATAAAATAAAATAAAATTTTTATTTTTACTTTTTTTTTAAGCATCAACAGGTCCGTATGGTAAGCGTAAAAATGTTTTTTTTTAATATTTATTTTATCAATGATTTATTTAAAAATAAAAGTTAATCGTCGTGAAGTTTCTTTATTATTAAAAACAACAACAGGTGCATATTTAATTGTACCTAGTATGGCAGATGTTGATCAAAATTGTGATTTTTTATTACGAATTTTTTCACAAGATACAACTATTGGTCGAACTTTTGTTAATATATTTGCTAATGATAATTTTGAAGATTTATCACGTCGAAATCTAAATCAACAATATACAATATCAGAACAAACACCTAGTAAAATTTAAGAACAATTATTCTTTTTTTTTTTTTATTATAAAATATATTTTATTTTAATTTAGTGAATATATTTTTTGAAGCAACACATTCAAAAGAATATTATAAATCTACAGACCTCGATGAAAAACGTATTGATGTCATTCCAATTCGACCTCATCGATATACATATGAATAGTAATTTTTTCTTTTTTTTTTGTAGGAAATAGGAATTTATTTGATTGTAATTTTAATAAATCCATATTCATGAGTGTAAGCAAAATATTTTAAGAACTTGTCAATTTGTATATTCATTTCTAAATTTATAATTCTTAAAAAGGCATCATAAGCATCAATATCTATTGGTGATGTTATGACTCATATGAAACTGAGCAGTAGCAAGGACAACTAGCGAGAACGATGATTATTTCATGACATTTGAGTACATTATTTTTACTAATTGCAGAGTTGAAATCGGTAGGATTATTTTATTATTACTGATACGAGTATCGGATCAGACCGGCATAAATCATTCTTCGCTTTTCTCATCAAATAATAATTGTATTTGTCGCTTAATCACTACAATGATAATGGATTAGATGGCAAAATATCGAAAGAATTTCTAATCTCTATTATAAAGAAAAAATATGAGTGTGTGGATATGACTGCCATGCACTCAACAATAATATAAAAATTTACATATTTTCTTCCATTTGATAGAGTAAATTGATAGTAAATGCAGTATTGGAAAATTTCTAATAGTCTTATTCAATATTCAATATTTTCATTTTTGATGCTTTGCAAGTTTATCTCATAATGTAAAAGCCGTTCTATTTCACTACAATAATATTTATCATTATTTATTTAATTCATAAGTATTTTTCTCACTTGACATCTATCAATGGATATAAAGCTTCAAAGGCCTAGGTATTTGATAGCTACTTTTGTAGATTGATTTCATGCTCGTCAAACATAGACATTATGAATTAATGCTACATTTAGTTTGTTTCCATGTTATATTCAATTCGTTATCTCTTATATTTGTGTACAGTAAGAGATATAAATAAATCTATAATAAATTACAATGCTAAATAATCATTTGCTTTTAGTTTGATTATATAATTTTGTTATTCAAATAAATTTAGAAAAATATATTAAGTATATAATAAAGAATTTTTCATCCAAGAAAAAAAGTCTGATGTATATTCTCTCATAGAAATAGTTTTCATCATCAATAACAGGGTAATTGATTTCTGACAAAAATACTTCTTTGATTAATTTTCTAGCAAAAAAACAAAATCAGGTTAGGTGATAAGGAATTTTTTATCGAATCAAACGGTAATCGCGTTATTAATCACAATTCTGACTGATTGATGTAATGTAGTAGAAGATCATTCATTCTCCATCTAAAATTAGAATCAAATATTCCAAAGACAACAGATCTTTCCTTACATATTTTTAAAAGTGATTAGTATAAAAAAAAAAGCTTTTTCTGATTGATCTAAAGATTATTCAGTATAATAAATATCAAAGTTTTTTTTATTGATTATTAACGATATTGATATGACAAGTTTCATCGAATAATTCAATATATCATTTTATATTTATTCAATGATTTTGTATCGTATTTATATTAGAAATTATTTTTTTTTTTATTAAAACAAAAGTTATTTGTCATATATATTTAAGATTCATTAAATACATGAATAGGAAATAAATGATTTCTCTCGAGATTAATTTATCCTATCTAATTTGATAATGATATGATTGACACATGTTTAATTTCTTATCTTATTAAGATCATAAATCAATATCTTCTATATTCCATGTATAAGAAACAATAATGTCCTTGAGAGTAAAGAAAAAGAAAAATAATTGCTTTCGTCTTCTGTCTTCATCTATAATCACGTCATTTTCAATTAGATTTACAAATTTGCATTAAATTCAACTAGGATATATTTCATTATTTAGTCATTATATCTGGATTATAGGTTTTTTTCTATATATTTAGACATGGTAGCCGCCTAGCATATCTTTTTTTTTTGTTATACGATATTCTCTGAAGATTATTTTAGTTTACTATGAGGAGAAAAACAGGAATTATGGAATATATCACTAGACATGAAGCAAGGAAAATCGTGGTAGATTTTTTTTAATACTCAAACGAGAATTACAATTGAGAGAATCATTTTATACTTTTAGTAGCAAAATCAGTTAGGATATAATGTCAAAAAAGAAACCAGAGATTAGATCACATTTTTCCCTAGATAAATATGAAAAGAATTTTTGATTTTCTCATGAGAATGATATAATATTAATAGTTATACTATAGTAGATATAAAAAATGTTTCCTATTGGCAAGACAAAAGAAAATAAACAAAATAATGATGCTTAAAAAAAAAACTTATTGATCATTGACTAAATAAAAATATGTTGCGATATGTAGATTGACTCAATATTATTAGATCGTCGTATAAAATAAAACACACTTGTTCTAATGCACCAGATTGAGTTTTATATATATGCACTGTTTTTATGATGTTCCATATAAGACTTTGTCCCAGGTCAAAGAACTTATTAGTCGATGTGTCTGGCTGGTGCAACTCGTTCTTTTCATTTTTTTTTTTTTTTGTTAATCATACGAAAAAAAACCGAGGTAGGAAGGGAAAGAGGAATAGAATTGCTTGAAGTATTTTTCTTAAATTACTATTTTTGTTTTTATTATTATTCGTGAGAATGTTCGAGAGAAGTTATAAGAACGTGAAAGAATGAGAATAAGAGTCTATTGAATTTTTTTTTCTATCTTTTTTTTTTTGATTCACAAAATATTTTGATTTAGAAAAATACATACTTGATTATATGTTTGGTTTAGAATCGTAAAAAATGATTCGATATTATCGAAAGAAAAAAAAGAAAAGTGAAAGGTAATGAAAGATTCATATTGATTTGTACAAAAAAAAAAAAAATCAACAGTAGAAATACGTTATTCTTCAAATATGAAGGTTAATTTATAATTTTTCTTGAAAGAAAAAAAAAAAAAAGAATACATATATATATCGACAGACATTTTCTAATGTCTATGTTATCAAAAAACCTATACCGTCTGTTGATCTGAAGAGTATTATTGATAAGTGTTTTTGTAATTATATGAAACGAGAGATGCATATGCTCTGTTTATCTTAGGATGCATGCATTTAAGATAGAACTGTAGGCGTTTACTAGTGTATTGACATGTAGGAATACTTTCTTTCTGTGTTTTTTTTTTTACATCGGTCTGAGAATAGACAGGAATAATCCGAATTATATGAGAGTAGTATACCCATCATTAGCAAACGAATTATAAATATGTGAATTCTTCAACAGATTCCGATGTCTTTATTTATTTGTTCTCTTTTATTCATTCTATCTACTACGAAAAAATAATCTTGTATAAATAGAATATTGTTAAATATTTAGATATAATCATCGAACAGTAATACATTATTAATTGACGTTATTATTAGTACAAGAGTCTGGCTCCTATACAGATTTCTATTTCAAAGTATGTAGAAAAAAATTATTAATAAAAAAATTAAAAAAAACTATCGATTTGTATTTTTTGAGGATTTTGTTACATCGTTTGTTTGTATTATTTTTATTACTGGTATCAAGAGTTAAGCATCAATGCTTAGGTTTTGTTACAGCTAATAATGATATTGAATGTCTTCCAGTAGACATTCAATTGTATACTTGGTCAGGACCCGGTTTTAAATCTGGTGAATGTTGGTATCAAGGACATCGTTTTGCAAATGGTGTCACATGGGGTCGAGCAGATACACAGGGTTCTCCTTATTGTATTTGTGAACAAGGTAAAATACGTATCTTTTACAGTCAACAACAACAACACTCTATTGCTGCTGATCCATTAACTATTCTTCGATCAATTAATGGTACATTACCAACAGCTAAGGATTTATCAAAATGGCCTACTGGAAATTTTCCTACTATACGACAACGTTTAGTAATTTGTTCAAGAAATCGAACCGGTTTACGTATAAGATCAAGAGATGGATGTATTGGATGTAAATGTTCTCAAAATGGACATTGGTTATGTAGAAAAGCACCACCATTAAATAGAAATCGAACAGTAAATCCTCAATCAAAGCAAATATCAAGGTAATCAATATATTTTTATTTAAATACAACTTATTTTTAGTAAGACAAAAAAAAGAAAGCTAATGATGAAATTTGTAATTTTTGATATAAAATAAATATTAATTTTTTTGTTCTTACAATTCATTAGAAATCATCCTTCTTCACGCGCTAACACATATCGTATTAATCTTCATATATCAACTGTACGTATACAACCTGAATGTTCATTAGGTAGTATACCGAAATTTTGTATATTAATCGAACGTTTATCATCAGCATCAAATATTAGTACTAAATTAAGTCGTTATATTGAAATTCCTCGTGAAACATCATGGATTGATCGTAGTATATGTACTCGATGTTCATGTACATTAGATGGTAAATTAAAATGTGAATTTATTAATCAATTATGTACTCGTCCTTGTCTTTTACATAAAATACGTCCAATTTCAATAATGTATTATTTTCCATCGGGTACAAAATGGTTAACACCAGAAAATGAGAAATGTCGTTCATGTATGTGTATTAATGGACAAAGAAAATGTATTAATTGTGATCAAATTATTAAAATCGATGTTAGTGCTAATAATAATAATGATAAAAAACAATTAACAGCTGATAGTGTTGGTTATTATAGATTAGTACCAACAAGATCTAATATTATTAAAGCAACACCATGTTTACTTCAAACTAGCACTGGTTCTCATCGTTTAATATTTCCAGGACAATTAACATGGTTTGAAAAACGGTGTTATTTTTGTTCACAACGTGGTGGTCGATTGATAATATGCTAATTAGTTTTTATTCCTCAACATTTTAGCCAAGTGTTCGAACTATTTAGCTTCTTTTTTTTGTTTTGTTCGTTCGTTTGTTTGTTTGTTAGATTATAGTTTATATATGTATCGTAAAAATACAAGCAACAAAAAAAATATATTTATTAATTAATGACAGATAATCTTGTAGTTTTATGAGAAATATCTATTAAAACGTAGTGTATCTATTGTGATTTTGTTTCGAATAGTGTTCATCTAGATTTTTGTATTGTTATGTTTGTGGAATATTTTTTTTTGCAAAAGATAAATGAAATATAATGTCGATGTTAGGAATAAATGTCTTACAAACAAAAGTCAATAATAAAAATATTATTTTGATTCAAACTTTTCTTTTTGTGTTGCATCTGATTTTGTACAGAATAATGATCAGGAGGGAGGCGGAGCGCGTGGAACATGGTACCTCGCTTTGCTTGTAATATTCAGCCACATCACGCTCTTTCCTGTAGGACTCAATCAGTCTGCGCTGTCCTGTCTTCATTGTTGAGTTACGCCTCTGATAATGATAGGAATATCATGAAATAGACTGGCTGATTAAAAGAATTTTCTAATCAAGAAAGTCGTGTATTATAGTTTGAACAATGAAATTATAGATGAATATGTTATAACACTGATTTCACTATTGATCTTCATTCTTTATATTTCTAACAAAAAGAAAACCCATGGAACTGTTCTTTTGTTTTCATGTGAAATATTTCAATTATGACTAATTTTCTTATATCAGAGAACATCACACGACGCATGCTTTGCAGAACAGTCAAGTCACTTAATTGATCATGATCTAACGGAATTCTGGTGTAGTAGTGAAACTTGCCATGATTTTCCATTATTGTCAATCGTACTCAGAGGAGTACATGCTATACTAATGACTAGTGCAAAACAGAACGACTGAATGAAAATGTAAGACAGGACGAAGAAGATTGTCCTGTAATGTTTTCTGTCTTATCTTTCAAAATATCTAACAACTGTTAGAAAAATATCAAAATTCGTCAACTTCTAACTATGAGTGCGTGCAAAGTTGTTGTTTTCGCTCAGATCAGAACTTCGATTATTTGTCAAAGATAATGCCACTCAATAATCATTATAATTAAGAGAATGAACTATGATAAAAGAAAATTGCAGCATCATCTAATATCATATGCTGTGACATATTAGAATTGATATTTTTTGTGTTGAAATAAATGTTTCAAAGACAGATAATACCAATTTAATAGAAAGAAATCAGTAAAAGTTTGCTTTAAAAAAAAAAGTAAATTTCTTGAATTATCAACTTTTCTAACAACAGTAGTCATTGTCGATGAAAAAAAGATGACTTACATAAATAACATACCTGTATTGTTACAGCTTGGCATACTTATACACGTATATATATATATATATGCTGTCCCAAAAGTGCGTACAGAAAGTTTGTGTAAATATCTGTAATAAAATTCAAGCGATTTCATTGCCTTCATTTTTATAATATGAGATTATATTATTTTAAGTTTTATTACATATAATTTGATTTACAACAAAACTGAAATACATAAATCCATCCTTTTCGAAATCTTTAATAAAAAAATACTACAGAAAATTTATTTTCGAAAGTAATCTATTTCTGTTATCGGTTCTTAGTTTGAATTCAACTAAATCTTTATTTGCAATAACTGTCAAAATTATCTAACCAGAAGATTATTTTATATTATTTTGTGTATATCTCAAAAAACTAGATTAACTAGAACGATCTGGTTTTCGTCAGATTACAACTCATAGTCTGTAGTATCTTAGTAAAAAACTTTCAGATCAATCGATTGATCTGTTTAATTTCTTTTTTGACAATAAAATCACAACATGTCGTTTTCTTTCTTCCTTCCAAAAATATCCAAATCACTTTGAAAGTTATTGCTGAAAATTTTCTTTATGTGATACATGATTCAATAGAACAAATTGTGCTCTGCGTAATGAGTACATTTTTATCATAGCTTTCCATTAAATAAGGGTTAGAGAACAACATTTTTTTTACCCATACTGGAAATTTTGAACAAAAAACTTGTCAACGCAGTTCCTGTGGAGCTGAAATGTGGAACTCACATATATCCTTAAATCTTGATATTCTAACACATCATATGTAAACTGAAAAATTTCGTGTACACTGTAGTTGTTTTCATTGATAATCAATGACAAGAGCGAGACTTTGTTAATTATTTCTTCATTTAAAACAGAAATTGTTTTTTTGTTTGAGAGCACCCTATTTTTATTTTGCACTGTTGTTATTCACTCATTATCTTTCCTTTTTTTTTAATTCGTTTTTCGTAGTTCAACATTCTTATTATTATAATCATTGAATTGATTGGCAAATAAATCTGTTTTACATATCCATGATATATACAGAAGATCTTACGCACTATTATATATGTTAATCAGCTCATAAACAATGATTTGGATTATCTTTCAAAATTATAACGTGATCAATTTTTCAAAAAACGTAGAAAGTCTGACGTCTGTTGTTCTTAATTGATAAGGTCTGTAATGGGGCCTTACGTTACTCTGTGTCTGTAAGGGGAATGGGGGGAACCGCAAAAACTTGAATTTAAAACTTACACTCACTGTTTTCTTCAAAATGCATGAATTATTCTATTTGAATAAATATTTCATGTTGGAGAATTATATTGATGGTCTCCTATATATACACGAATGAAATAGAGACCTTGGAAGTACGAAAAGTTATATCAAATAAAACTTAGCGCATTGTTTTAAATTTCATTTTCTATCAAGATTGCCGTGATGCGCAAAAATTAACTATGTATTTAATGAGATTTGCATTTAAGCTGTTGCTGAGACTACTTTACACCTACTATTTATAATGTAACATATCTGTATAACTGAAGTGATATAATCGATTTCAATTTCAAATATAAGAGTTTCGTACTCGAAAAGATTTCCTACAAATCTTAGCTTTTAAAACAATTTTTTATACCTTCGTCAATCGAAATATTTATTTAAATAGAATAACTCATGCAATTTGTAGTATTCTTATTAATGATGTATTGAACAATAAAATTGGTTAAATATCATATGACAACAAATGTGTTTTTTCTCGCCTTTTTGTTCAAAATTTCCAGTATCGGTCAAAAAAAATATTGTTCTCTAACCCTTATTTAAAGGAAAGCTATGATAAAGAGTATTCATTACGTAGAGCACAATTTGATCTATTGAATCATGCATTACACAAAGAAAATTTCAATTTAATTAGAACAAACTTGCAATAATTTCTGAAGATGTTTTTGATAATTTTGGAAGGATGAAAAAAAACGACATGTTGTGATTTTATCGTCAATAAAAATTAAACAGATCAATTGATTGATCTGAAATCTTGCAAACATCATGAACTTCGTCGATTGTATCTTCTATAATTTTTCAAGGTTTTTCAGATTGTTATACATTCATTATTATAATGATTTCCCTAGAATATAGAAAAACATCTCTAATACAATCTATATCAAATCTGTCATCATGCATTTTTCTTTTCACAACACTAGGTGACTGAAATTTGGTCATGAACATAAACTATTTTTATTCTAATGTTAATGAACATAGATATTTATCTGAAAATCTACAGAACAAAATTTCAAAGAATATAACCTAAAATGTTATTTAAAAGATACAAATGTAGCAAAGCAAGTTTAACATTTAGTTGAAATTGGATTAATATTTTATAATAAAAGATATGCTGAGTGTATAAACAAAACAAAACTTGTTTATTGTTAATATAATTTAATTGTATTTTGAAGTTGGTTTGATAATAGAGATATGTTTAGATTGTTATTCTATATATAAACAATAATAAGTTGACTATATTTATTTTGTCTAATAGAATATATATTGTGACAATCTGTTTTTTTCTGATTTCTAAAACATTGAATGATTGGTAAAATTTCAATACTTAGTGGATCGACTCAATATTTTCGATGTATGTTTTTCATCTAGGAAATATCCAATGGTTAATGGAAGTTTTCGAAAAAATATTGTTTTTCTTTAAAATATTTATTCATATGAACAGAGGGCTTATGTGGACAATTTTTCAAGACAAGGGTACATTGCACTGCTTGTGTCTTATAATTATGATATGAGAACTTAATTTACGATTGTAATTACTAACAAAACTGACTGTTAAATTTGTTGTTTGAATAGTATGACTGATGGTATATGACGCATAATCATTCTTCATAAATTTGATAAAGCATCAATTAACTTTTTATTTCTGTTGATTTTGCTGTTTTTACGAATATTATCAAGATGGAAATGCGAAACAGATGATAAATCTTATCAAATGAAAAAGCAATTGGAATCAATTTAAACTAAAGTAAATCGATATAGAACTCTATGTTGGTTTCAACAATAAAGAATTCATCTGATCTCTATTTCTAATTAACAACAAATGGAATAGAACAGTCAGAAAAACTGAAATGTATACACTACAAGAATCGTTTGTTTTTCTTTAATCAGTAAAAGAAGAAAAAAACAAAAAATTTTTTTTATTTATTTTGGTTAATGTGATATTATTTAATGAGCACTTGTCTAAATCAATCAATTCATCTTTTGTTTATAATGCTTTATCTAAGCGAATTTTCTTAAAAATGAATTCATGCATTCCAAATTCAACAAAGTTCTCATGTCATCTATAACATTTATAATCGTTCGATCTGCTAAAGAACTGATTCATGCAAATTTTCCGAACAAACTTTTGGAAGATTCTATACTATCGAATATTCATTATAATATAGTCATATCTGAAATTGAAGAGATCATCCATGTGCCAACGTGAAATTTTGGCATAATACATTTTGAGCGCATCTTCATTCAGATGTAATACAATTCATGATGTTTGTAACAATGTCCTTAATATTATGAATGAATAAAAGTTTATGAGGTTATTTTCACCTTTTTTTTTTCAAGTTTCCATATTTAGAAATGTTACTTAAACAATTGTAAAATATATAGGAATAAAGAGCGTTGTTGTTAATAATGAGAGACATGATAAGTATAACATGAATCTTGTTATTGAAAAATAAGAGGAAAGGAAATGATGAAAAACTATGCACGCCTGAATTCATTTGATTATTTTATGCCAGGAAAATTCTTTAAATTAATATTTTTGATTAGAGTGAAAATCTCGTGTGTATGCATTGCTTGTTTTAAGCAAATATATTTTTTTTTACTTTATTAAGTTAATTTTAATATGATAAAATTTTAAGAATTCATTTTTTCATATAGATAATTTTTATGAGAATCAGCAAACATTATTCATTTCAATATGTCAAAAAAAAAATTGATATACAATACATAAGTGATATTTATCCCATAAATTCTCGTGGATCACCTTTTCTAATTGATTTTGTTTCCCGTTCGAATAACATTCCATCATCATCATTTAATTTACCATCATGCATTTCTAAAGCATGAAGGTTATTTAAATATGCTGCAAGACTACTAGGTGGATAAATATAATCCAAAAAAGAAGGACTTGGATCATATATATCTTCATTTTGTTCATTGTTGATTGGTCGATAAATAAATCTCGAACTAGAAGAATTTAGCAAAAAAAAAAAATCAAATAAAATTTAAATATATTTTATAAAATTGAACTAACCTGATCAAAACAACGCTTAAAGTTAACAACCATAAGGCGTAGTAATAAGTTTGCATGATACTTAATCGTCAATGTCTATGTATGATGCGTGTGTAAGTAAAAAGTGTTATGTGCTCTTGTCTTTTTATTTCTATGTGATTTGATGTAAGTGTAGAAATGAAACATTAATTGTTTGTATGACGTTCAAAAAGAAGATTTTTATGTAATAAATAGTGCCCACATTAAGTGATATTAAAAAATAGAGAAATGAGTTTATGTAGAATTGAATTGAAAGCTCATATAATAATTAATGCGACAATGCATGACATTAGACTAATTTAATTCATTTAATGCTCATGCAATTATTTTTTTTTTGTGGATGTTCATTTCTTTGTTTGTTAAAATTAATTATATTTGATGGATTAACATGATATCTTATTTTCTATATAGTTTAATATATTATGCTTCATATTCTTTTTTTGTCGTTTGATCTAATAATATATCCTATAGAGTAGTTTCATAGAAGATACTTGAAAATTTTTTAATATGCATATACTTCTTCATTCTAAAAATAGTATTTGTTAAGGAAAAAATTTTCTAATAGAAAGTCTGGTCAGAAGCCATGTAAATATATATGCGATAGATCTATTAAGAATTAATGTATTGATGAATAAAATATTTCAATATTATGTTGATTTTCTTTGTAAAGAAGATAACTGCCTACAGATCCCGCAAAAGTAGGGGAGGAGTTGGATACCTCTCCAATAATTCATTATTACTTAGCAAGGCGAGAAAAATTTTTTGAAATTATATACTATCTGTGTAAAACATCTACTTATACACGTTTCTCAAGGGTGGAAACCTTGTACGACGCCTGATTGTCTCTCACATTTTTATGATTCAATTATGTGCTTGTCATTGTCTTTTGAGTAAGCACATCAATTAAGTTTTATATATATATTATAAAAGTAAATGAATTATCAATGTTTATATAATATTTATCAAAAGCATTTTCTAAGAAATTGAAATATTATATTATGTGCTTTTATTATCTTGATAAAAGTTTAAAATAGAAGTTTGGCTATTTATTTATGAGGAAAATAGACATTGACATGTTCAAAAATTTGACATACAAGACATCAACATAGAAAACTCAATTTTGCACAATTAATTCGTATTGTATTTCTTATAAAACTGTTTGTCACTGTGTCCAGGGATTGATAATCGACTGAAAGATAAAGATCATTTGATAAACACATATTCATATTAACTAGAAGTTGTTCGACATAATCATCATGAACTTGATGAAGATTAAGTTTGGTGAGATAAGAATATTCAATAATTGATAAATCTTGATTATCATTTTGTAGTTTACGATTAACTATAGTTAATTCTTTCATAAATGGAAAAAATTGAGTAATTCGAAGAAAAAATTCATGTTCAAAAAGATATTTATCATATAATGATACTATACTAACATATTTAAATAGTTCATCTAAAAAATTATTTGATATATCATTGTAAAATTTTACTTCATATGAATATGCCATTGACTATATTTATCTTTCTTGAAAGTGATCAACACACAAGAAATAATTTCATTATCGTAAAAATGTTCAAATGTATGACGAATATTTACATTTGATGATAAATTCATTTGATTGTGAAAACAAATGATTGAGCAAATATTAAATATGAATTTATGTAATCGTAGCATATAATTAATAATATTCTTCTTTAAGTCATTTCCATCAATAAATTCTTTATTACGATCAATCACAAAATGTATATCAAGTTTTTTCTAGATTTAACATTCGATGTAGAGGTGATACAATTAATTCATCATAAACATCTATTTCAATATTACAATACAAAGAAAAAAACTGTAAATTCTGTAGTTTTTCTTAGAAACGAGAACAAATATCATATATTAATGAAAAATAATCTTTCTTGTTATTAATTGTTAAATGCGACAAGGAAATATACTACAATTCTAACAGAGTAGAAGAGATAACAGTTGGAAGTGATGCATAAAAAGGTAATCATTGATGTCAGACTGAAGATGGGCTGAAGTTTAAATACCGTAAATTGGTAAATATAGTAAATGATGAAATTTGGTTTTTGAATATATGAGCTAAAGAAGTTCTGTCTGAATGAAAAGATTAAAAGTTAATGAGAAAAATATTTATTAGATTTGAATTTTCTCATTCAATTCATGCAT